CCTAAAGTGAGTCCCCAGCTTTGCATGTTTGTGTGTGTGTGCGTGTGTGTGTGCGTGCGTGCGTGCGTGCGTGCGTGTGTGTGTGTGTGAGCTTGTTTTACTGTTTTTGTTGGAACTCATTTTACTTATAGTGGCTTTTTCGAAGAAAAAACAAACAAACAACTTATCCATAAAATTAGGGTTGTGGGTTAAAGACCAGAGGATTTCATTGTAYGGCAGTGGAAAAATCAAAGTTCAACCCCCTTTTGGTTCTAGTATTTTTCATATCAAGACTTAATCAAAATGATCGTATCAAGTCCACTGTCCTTCACATTAAGTACTAGGTGTTTGTGATACATGTAAAAAATATATTTTTATGCTTTTCTAGGTAAGAAAGTAAAGCTAGTAAACCTGCAAGTCATATGGCCACATTTTGAAAACCACAAACTATTTTTGTGTGCACCATTTGCAAAACTGTATTCATGGCTGTGCACATTATTTCATTGCCCACCCCAGCTTTTTTTCTATCCGCTTTGGCAGCTGCCCCCAAGTTTGATTATTTGCTGAAGTACACTTTAGAAATTAACACAAACAGATCTGGACCAGGATTTTAATAATCATTATTCACCATCAGTACGGTTCTTAGAGGTGGATATTCAGGGTGTCCTAAAGTTGTCAGTTTACAGCCCTAGATTTCTTTGATTGAGATGGAGTTGCATGTGACAAAGTCAAATGATTCAAATAGTTTGATGTACAATTTTTTTGTTCATAATTCAGTTGACAGGACTGCAAGCCCCTCAAAGGTGGGCCTAGAGAACCCTTAAGACATTCTCAAGACTCTGATGAGAATGCTATTTGCATGGGAGTCATCAGCAGACGCAGTAAGGCTGGAATATCTGGGGAAAGTTCTCAGTAACCTGGAGCACAGGAACTGTCTGAGACTTGAACTCTGTGTGTGRATTAAAATGACATGACACCTTGCAAGGAAATGGTTATCAGTGCTTGTTTTCCACAATACTGTTTGTTTTTTGTCAAACATGGCACTGTGCATTATGGGTAAACATCTTAAATTTTGTCATCTCTTTTTCTGAAGCACGTGTGTGTGTGTGTGTGTGTGTGTGTGTGTGTGTG